AGTAGTGTATATGTGCAGCTGTCACTTGTGTTAGTGGTTGATATATACTGATCCAGATGTGTCAGTTGATATATACTGATCCGGATGTGTCAGTTGATATATACTGATCCAGATGTGTCAGTTGATATATACTGATCCGGATGTGTCAGTTGATATATACTGATCCAGATGTGTCAGTTGATATATACTGATCCAGATGTGTCAGTTGATATATACTGATCCAGATGTGTCAGTTGATATATACTGATCTAGATGTGTCAGTTGATATATACTGATCTAGATGTGTCAGTTGATATATACTGATCCGGATGTGTCAGTTGATATATACTGATCCAGATGTGTCAGCTGATATACACTGATGCACATGTATGTGTCCGTTGTGTGACCCTTGTGGGTTTAGCGCTTAGTTATGATTATAATATGTCGTATAACGACAAAAAAAATCCTTTTGCAGTTGATTTATTGTGAAGATTATTATTATTATAATCAAGGGGGAAGCGCTAAACCCGGAGGATTATACAGCGCCTGGGGGGGGATGTGGAAGGCATTCAGGCTTAATTCGGGGAACTGGAGCACAGATCCAATTCCCTAAATCAAGAGCCCCTCACCAACATCAAGGAACCTTCCTTAAGGGGTCTGTGAAGAATTATGGCGGTGTAGGCTACCAGGGCTACTTCGTTATATAGAGGCCATTATCACTGAAACGAGCTATAAACTCTCATGGATCATGTAGCTGAGAATATTAGTACTAATGCGGCCTGGCCCCAGGCTAGGTTTCCTGACTGCTTGATGAAGCAGGTTGTTGGTGTTGGTATACTTCAGTTTAGGCACTGCAGCCTGGCTGTGGTCACGGCTCTGGCACTGCATCCTGGCTGTGATCACAGCCCAGGCACTACTGTTTGGCCGTTGTCACAGCTCTGGCACTGCTATTTGACTGTTGCACAGCTCTGGCACTGCAGCCTGACTGTGATCACAGCCCAGGCACTGCTATTTGGCTGTGATCACAGCTCAGGCACTACTGTTTGGCCGTTGTCACAGCTCTGGCACTGCTATTTGACTGTTGCACAGCTCTGGCACTGCAGCCTGACTGTGATCACAGCTGAGGCACTGCTATTTGACTGTGATCACAGCTCAGGCACTGATATTTGGCCGTTGTCACAGCTCTGGCACTGCTATTTGGCCGTTGTCACAGCTCTGGCACTGCAGCCTGGCTGTTGTCACAGCTCTGGCACTGCAGCCTGGCTGTTGTCACAGCTCTGGCACTGCAGCCTGGCTGTTGTCACAGCTCTGGCACTGCAGCCTGGCTGTTGTCACAGCTCTGGCACTGCAGCCTGGCTGTTGTCACAGCTCTGGCACTGCAGCCTGGCTGTTGTCACAGCTCTGGCACTGCAGCCTGGCTGTTGTCACAGCTCTGGCACTGCAGCCTGGCTGTTGTCACAGCTCTGGCACTGCAGCCTGGCTGTTGTCACAGCTCTGGCACTGCAGCCTGACTGTTGTCACAGCTCTGGCACTGCAGCCTGTTAGGAGTGAATGGAGACAAATGGTTTTTAGGACTTAACGTGCTGTTGGAGTGTGAGCAAAGTAACATTTCAAGGGATTCAGGGAAACTGGCAGGCTGGACTAAGTCCTGGAGATGGGAAGTACAGTGTCTGCACTCTGAAGGACGGGTGTTAATGTTGCAGTTTTATAACTGTAGTGTCAGCGTGCCTCTGGCAAGACAGTGATGGAGTGAATGATGATAAAAGTTTTTCTTTTTCGGGCCACCCTGCCTTGGTGGGAGACGGCCGATGTGTTAATAAAAAATACCTTTAGTGTTGCAATCAACACAACAGGAGCTTGCAATGTTGCAATAATAATTAGCAGGTACAGGCACATTAGTCCAGGAGAACGTTCTATCTAGGATGAGGTATGAACTCTGTGTGTCTGTATATATTTATATTTTCATATATATCATGCAATACGATGTATATGTCAATGTGTATATACTTAGAGTTGACTAATTACTGTTCTAGGTATTAAAGTATTCTTGACTGGTGGCCAACAGGTTAAATTTACTTGACAGTTTTTAAACCCAATTAACCAGCCAAACTATAAATATAAATATATTTTTGTATGTAAATATTTATATACATTTACAGTGTATAATACATTTACAAACATTAGTTCTCAAAATCCTTCCATTTTGTGGAAAATATTGTATATATTTTCCAGAAATTCAGTATTTATATGTAAATAGATGACCATACTGTATTTAATAATATTTGTCATAGAAAACGGAAAGCCTGTGTCTGCGCAGACTAGACTCGCCATCTTGGTTTTGAATTTTGTACAAATGTTGGTGTAATGGGAAGAATTTTTCGTGCTCTAGAGGTTAAAATTGTGTTGACACCTCTCAAATAGGAGGCGAAATTGGTGGATGTGCATTCCTACATAACTTGAGATATCAGACGACTGGACAAGACAGCTCCAGGAACCTCAGATAAGCTCTCTAGATTTGTGTGTAATTCTGGCCAGCATTATTTTCATAGATTTAGTTAGAGTGAGGTTTTCTGAGTATGATACACATTAATCTCCAGTCAAATTGGTGAGTGATATTAAGATATATTTTCCTTCTGTAATGTAATTGTGTATATATATAACCATTTATTATTTTTAATATACAGTCCACAAATTTATATATTTACCAGTATTCCTGGTGTATGTATATTTCATTTAATTAATAGGTCCAGAGCAACTTGTGGTTATGACAGTGGTAGGTATCGAAGGGGGACATTTTTTGCGACCTAGGTGTCCCAAATTCCTACTTGTCTATGTAACATTGATAAATAATAATTATCTTTGTTATTTACTGTTATGTACATAATGAGTTACATACAGATAAATGCAATTTTCCACACATTTATTAACGGAAAAAAGACCCAAAGTGTGTTTTATTTATTTTAAATTTATTAAAGCAACTCCGGCTAATATTATGTGTGTTTAAGATAACACATTGTAACACTTATGTGTGTAAGATAACACATTGTAACACTTATGAGTGTAAGATAACACATTGTAACACTTATGTGTGTAAGATAACACATTGTAACACTTATGTGTGTAAGATAACACATTGTAACACTTATGTGTGTAAGATAACACATTGTAACACTTATGTGTGTAAGATAACACATTGTAACACTTATGTGTGTAAGATAACACATTGTAGCACTTATGTGTGTAAGATAACACATTGTAACACTTATGTGTGTAAGATAACACATTGTAACACTTATGTGTGTAAGATAACACATTGTAACACTTATGTGTGTAAGATAACACATTGTAACACTTATGTGTGTAAGATAACACATTGTAACACTTATGTGTGTAAGATAACACATTGTAACACTTATGTGTGTAAGATAACACATTGTAACACTTGTGTGTGTAAGATAACACATTGTAGCACTTGTGTGTGTAAGATAACACATTGTAGCACTTATGTGTGTAAGATAACACATTGTAACACTTATGTGTGTAAGATAACACATTGTAACACTTACGTGTGTAAGATAACACATTGTAACGCTTATTTCAAGCAAAGTGTCTTGCTATATCTGCTCTGTTTCACATGACCACATAATGCTACAATGTAGCCTCATCTTCAGTTTCACATGACCACATAATGCTACAATGTAGCCTCATCTTCAGTTTCACATGACCACATAGTGCTACAATGTAGCCTCATCTTCAGTTTCACATGACCACATAGTGCTACTATGTAGCCTCATCTTCAGTTTCACATGACCACATAGTGCTACAATGTAGCCTCATCTTCAGTTTCACATGACCACATAGTGCTACTATGTAGCCTCATCTTCAGTTTCACATGACCACATAGTGCTACTATGTAGCCTCATCTTCAGTTTCACATGACCACATAGTGCTACTATGTAGCCTCATCTTCAGTTTCACATGACCACATAGTGCTACTATGTAGCCTCATCTTCAGTTTCACATGACCACATAGTGCTACTATGTAGCCTCATCTTCAGTTTCACATGACCACATAGTGCTACTATGTAGCCTCATCTTCAGTTTCACATGACCACATAGTGCTACTATGTAGCCTCATCTTCAGTTTCACATGACCACATAGTGCTACTATGTAGCCTCATCTTCAGTTTCACATGACCACATAGTGCTACTATGTAGCCTCATCTTCAGTTTCACATGACCACATAATGCTACAATGTAGCCTCATCTTCAGTTTCACATGACCACATAGTGCTACAATGTAGCCTCATCTTCAGTTTCACATGACCACATAGTGCTACTATGTAGCCTCATCTTCAGTTTCACATGACCACATAGTGCTACTATGTAGCCTCATCTTCAGTTTCACATGACCACATAGTGCTACTATGTAGCCTCATCTTCAGTTTCACATGACCACATAATGCTACAATGTAGCCTCATCTTCAGTTTCACATGACCACATAGTGCTACAATGTAGCCTCATCTTCAGTTTCACATGACCACATAGTGCTACTATGTAGCCTCATCTTCAGTTTCACATGACCACATAGTGCTACTATGTAGCCTCATCCTCATCCTCGTCTCAGCTCTGAATAATATTTGGTAACCCACAAGTCTCTAAGCTTCGTGTAATTAATTATATTCATAAACAAGCACTGAATCTGTTATCAATTTTCATAAAAGGCACTTAGTGTTTAACTACTCAAAAAATTAAACTAGTGAAATTTAAAACTAATGAATTAGACACTTGTACAACACTATTATGTTTATTGAGTAAACTTTCTGAGAGTAAAGTTACCAAGTGTTGCTTGCACGAGTGTATGATTTATCATCGTCTCGGTTTTCTGAACCATTTGTATCAAATACCATTTAAATCTGGGAATAAAGAAAACACAGATATGGTTTCGAAAGTGACCTGCACTTTAATAAATAACAAACATTATTAAATAAGTTAGGAATGATCAACGTTGTCCCTTTGGAAGGATGTGCCTAATTTGGGCCAGTAGGCCTCCTGTAGAGGTCCTCCATTCTTATGTTGTGGAGAAGGTTTGTAGCGTGGGACAGGCTTGACCTGTGCACTACAGTCTGCTCAGTAAATAATACAAGATATACATATTAACAAATATGGGCAGAAACATCTTAAATTAACAATACTACTATATATATCAAGAGCTATAATATATATTGAAGAAAATAATAATACTGACCGATATCTACATTAAAGTAGAAAATAGCAATTATTGGCAGATTTACTTCATTAACATCTTAATCCACTCGTCGTTTATTCGTTTGTCCTAAACTGAACAAATGGACAATACAATTCTGCATGCTGGACAAGGGGCCTACATGAGACAGTTGAAAAAAAGAAGTGTTTCTCTCCTGTGTAAATGCTGATTTTTGGTTAGTCAGAAAAATTGTTGTGTGAGGTGGTCGACACGAACTGGAGTCCCACTGACTAGGACGCTATCATCAACTAGGTTATCTTGAAAACAGATTACTATGTTATCTGTTTTCAACGTGTTGTTATAGAGAATTACCCACTAGGAGTGCAGGTGCGAATGAGTCATCTATTCAGGAAAGAAGCTAGATAGAAGATAATAGTAAGAGAAAAACAAGTACAGTACACGTTGCACTGAGTTTTATCACACCATCAGAGATAAACCTGGAGAAGAGCGAGTTTATATAGGAGAACGTAGTGAGGTCGGCAGTGCTTTCTGCTCTTCACTGGTGTATTGTGACCTAATTCTCACACACTATAATGCACCCCTAACAAAAGTGCGTGTTTCTAGGAGCTCCATACAAGAACACACTAGGCATGGGTAAACCTCGATAGGACCTTTTTAGAGATCTGTGTTTAGTCACCCCCTAGACGAGTAGGCTCCTGGGATCCTGTGTTCAAGTGTTCCCTGGAGAAGGTCCCTTATGGACCTTCCATCAGCTGTCCTCTTAGAAAGGACAGTATTTAAGGATTTGTGTTCAGTTGTCTCCCCCGGCTCCGTCCGTAAAATAGCGTGTTGGAATACGCTTGCTGGATAACATTATCGAAGTTTTGTTGTGTGAACTGGGACATACTGGGAGAATGTCCCGCGTAGGAGGCAGCCGAGGATCCCATAGAGGCGTCATTCTCACCTTCCTGCCCTCCTTTACCACTCTTCTCGTCAGGCTCTTCGAAGGGTCGTGGCAGCTCCTGGGAGAAGATATCCTGCAAACGGTTGTCGTCGTAGTCTCCGTAGACATCCTCGTCCTCCAGGTAGAAGAGCTCTTCTTCAGAGAGTCCAGACAGGTCCTCAGACTCTCCCGCCGCCCCAGACTCTCCTACTTCATCGCTACTGCGGACACAGTAAAGGTACTAATCAGTAAAAGGCTGCTAGAGGATGACTTGTATACATATAACACAGGTATGTGTATTCTGATACTTGCGAAGACACAGTGCACACAGGAGACAGCACTCAACACAAACACACACACAAGAATTATTATCGAAAATAAGCGCTAAGCCCATATGGATCATACACACATGACTGTGACAATATAAGATTTATATAAACGAGCATACAACACCAGTATGGAGCCGTCACCTCAACAACCAAAACTAAGTGAGTACAACTAGGCGAGTACAATAAGGTGAGTACATATTCCCAGAAGACCACTCAAACTGTCCCAGACATATTGTTGAACAATGAGTGTATTGGGTAAAGTTTGGGCAATAATGACCCTCATCAGCTCAGGGGAAACAATACCCGACGTTACCTATTATCTAAACGCTGCTGCTGCTGCCTCACAAGTCTTGTTTAGCTTTAGAAACTTTGTGGGTTTAATCAGATTATGATAAAAAAGTTTCGTGTAATGGTTGATCCTTTGTCCAGGATGGTCTCTTGGAGGTGGGGAGGGGGGGGGGAGGTTGGTGTCCTTGTCAAAGTTTGTAAAATAACACTATTATAATTTCGCTCTCTCTCTGATTTTCTTTTCGTCTCGGCTGTCTCTCTCTCTCTCTCTCTGCTACCTGTTCTGTACCTTGATCGGATGGAGCTTTCTCCCTAACATTACAGCAGCAGTCGTCGCCTGCCACTGAGGTGCTTCCCTTATTTATTTGTCACACACCAGAAGTCATGAGAGTATAACATGCCAGGGCTGTGTAAGACATTATTCCAGGTATTTAAGTGGTTGTCTCACCTGGATGTTGACTGTGAAGTGACTTGAGAGAAGTTCAGGTCAGCAGTGACTGAGTACACCAGGCTGGGGAAGTCTTCCTTCCAGGGCCGGAGGTCCAGTGAGGGTATTCCAGGTCCGTGGCACGACTGTTTGGTGTTCCTGTGATATCAAACAGCCGGTTCATAACATCCTTCAACTCACAGTATAACAGGACTGCTTTATGTTTATTAGAAACTAACATACACACACACACACATACACACACACACACACACATACATACACACACACACACACACACACACACACACCCCACACACACACACACACACACACACACACATACACACACACACACACACACACACACACACACACACACACACATACACACACACACACACACACACACACACACACACACACACACACACACACACACACACATACACACACACACACATACACACACACATACACACACACACACACATACACACACACACACACACACACACACACACACACACACACACCACACACACACATACACACACACACACACACACACATACATACAGATGAGGAGGAGGTGACATACATACAGATGAGGAGGAGGTGAAGAAACTGCTAAGGGACATCGATACCTCAAAGGCAATGGGACCGGACAACATCTCTCCATGGGTCCTTAGAGAGGGAGCAGATATGTTGTGCGTACCACTTACCACAATCTTCAACACATCCCTGGAAACTGGGCAACTACCTGAGGTATGGAAGACGGCAAATGTAGTTCCCATTTTCAAAAAAGGAGACAGAAAAGAGGCACTAAACTATAGACCTGTGTCATTGACGTGTATAGTATGCAAAATTATGGAGAAGATTATCAGGAGGAGAGTGGTGGAGCACCTGGAACGGAACAGGAGTATAAATGCCAACCAGCACGGATTCACGGAAGGCAAATCCTGTGTCACAAACCTTCTGGAGTTTTATGATAAAATAACAGAAGTAAGACAAGAGAGAGAGGGGTGGGTTGATTGCATCTTCTTGGACTGCAAGAAGGCTTTTGACACAGTTCCTCACAAGAGATTAGTGCAGAAGCTAGAGCATCAGGCGCATATAACAGGAAGGGCACTGCAATGGATCAGAGAATACCTGACAGGGAGGCAACAACGAGTCATGGTACGTAATGATGTATCACAGTGGGCACCTGTGACGAGCGGGGTCCCACAGGGGTCGGTCCTAGGACCAGTGCTATTTTTGGTATATGTGAACGACATGACGGAAGGGTTAGACTCAGAAGTGTCCCTGTTTGCAGATGATGTGAAGTTAATGAGGAGAATTAAATCTGATGAGGACCAGGCAGGACTTCAAAGAGACCTGGACAGACTGGACACCTGGTCCAGCAAATGGCTTTTCGAATTTAATCCTGCCAAATGCAAAGTCATGAAGATAGGGGAAGGGCACAGAAGACCACAGACAGAGTATAGGCTAGGTGGCCAAAGACTGCAAACCTCACTCAAGGAGAAAGATCTTGGGGTGAGTATAACACCGAGCATGTCTCCGGAAGCACACATCAATCAGATAACTGCTGCAGCATATGGGCGCCTGGCAAACCTGAGAACAGCATTCCGACACCTTAGTAAGGAATCATGCAAGACACTGTACACCGTGTATGTCAGGCCCATACTGGAGTATGCAGCACCTGTTTGGAACCCGCACTTGATAAAGCACGTCAAGAAACTAGAGAAAGTACAAAGGTTTGCAACAAGGTTAGTTCCAGAGCTAAGGGGAATGTCCTATGAAGAAAGATTAAGGGAAATCGGCCTGACGACACTGGAGGACAGGAGGGTCAGGGGAGACATGATAACGACATATAAAATACTGCGTGGAATAGACAAGGTGGACAAGGACAGGATGTTCCAGGGAGGGGACACAGAAACAAGAGGCCACAATTGGAAGTTGAAGACACAAATGAGTCAGAGAGATAGTAGGAAGTATTTCTTCAGTCATAGAGTTGTAAGGCAGTGGAATAGCCTAGAAAATGACGTAGTGGAGGCAGGAACCATACACAGTTTTAAGACGAGGTTTGATAAAGCTCATGGAGCGGGGAGAGAGAGGGTCTAGTAGCAACCGGTGAAGAGGCGGGGCCAGGAGCTAGGACTCGACCCCTGCAACCACAAATAGGTGAGTACAAATAGGTGAGTACACATACACACACACACATACACACACACACACACACACACACACACACACACACACACACACACACACACACACACACACACACACACACACACACACACACACACATACACACACACACACACACACACACACACACACACACACACACACATACACACACACACACACACACACACACATACACACACTCAGGAGAAGAGTGGTGGAACACCTAGAAAGGAATGATCTCATCAACAGCAGCCAGCATGGTTTCAGGGACGGGAAATCCTGTGTCACAAACCTACTGGAGTTCTATGACATGGTGACAGCAGTAAGACAAGAGAGAGAGGGGTGGGTGGATTGCATTTTCTTGGACTGCAAGAAGGCGTTTGACACAGTTCCACACAAGAGATTGGTGCAAAAACTGGAGGACCAAGCAGGGATAACAGGGAAGGCACTACAATGGATCAGGGAATACTTGTCAGGAAGACAGCAGCGAGTCATGGTACGTGGCGAGGTGTCAGAGTGGGCACCTGTGACCAGCGGGGTCCCGCAGGGGTCAGTCCTAGGACCAGTGCTGTTTCTGGTATTTGTGAACGACATGACGGAAGGAATAGACTCTGAGGTGTCCCTGTTTGCAGATGACGTGAAGTTGATGAGAAGAATACACTCGATCGAAGACCAGGCAGAACTACAAAGGGATCTGGACAGGCTGCAGACCTGGTCCAGCAATTGGCTCCTGGAGTTCAATCCCACCAAGTGCAAAGTCATGACGATTGGGGAAGGGCAAAGAAGGCCGCAGACGGAGTACAGTCTAGGGGGTCAGAGACTACAAACCTCACTCAAGGAAAAAGATCTTGGGGTGAGTATAACACCAGGCACATCTCCTGAAGCGCACATCAACCAAATAACTGCTGCAGCATATGGGCGCCTAGCAAACCTCAGAACAGCATTCCGACATCTTAATAAGGAATCGTTCAGGACCCTGTACACCGTATACGTTAGGCCCATATTGGAATATGCGGCACCAGTTTGGAACCCACAATTAGCCAAGCACGTAAAGAAACTAGAGAAAGTGCAAAGGTTTGCAACAAGACTAGTCCCAGAGCTAAGAGGTATGTCCTACGAGGAGAGGTTAAGGGAAATCAACCTGACGACACTGGAGGACAGGAGAGATAGGGGGGACATGATAACGACATACAAAATACTGAGAGGAATTGACAAGGTGGACAAAGACAGGATGTTCCAGAGATTGGACACAGTAACAAGGGGACACAGTTGGAAGCTGAAGACACAGATGAATCACAGGGATGTTAGGAAGTATTTCTTCAGCCACAGAGTAGTCAGTAAGTGGAATAGTTTGGGAAGCGATGTAGTGGAGGCAGGATCCATACATAGCTTTAAGCAGAGGTATGATAAAGCTCACGGCTCAGGGAGAGTGACCTAGTAGCGATCAGTGAAGAGGCGGGGCCAGGAGCTCGGACTCGACCCCCGCAACCTCAACTAGGTGAGTACAACTAGGTGAGTACACACACACACACACACACACACACACACACACACACACACACACACACACACACACACACACACACACACACACACCCTACACACACACATACACACACACACATACACACACACACACACACACACATACACACACACACACACACACACACACACACACACACACACACACACACACACACACACACCACACACACACACACATACACACACACACACACCACACACACACACACACACACACACATACACACACACACACCACACACACACACACACACACACACACACACACACACACAACACACACACACACACATACACACACACACACACATATTTAAAATGATTACTAATTTTCATGATTACAGATGGTTACTCTTTCTTATCTCGAGAAAGGAACTACAGTGAGACCCAACTGAGTTTAAATTAATATTGTGCATTAAAGGTAATATTAAGCCCCAAGATAATTGTAAGTTACAACAGAGTCTTCACATCATGTCCTTGTATTGATAAAGGACCCCAATGGAAATAAGTCACTCTGTCTGACTTTTTTGTGTTATCCCAGGTTCTCTACACATATGCTGCTATGTATGATAATCTATGTAACTGTATTTGTGTATACCTGAATAAACTTACTAAAGCCACTGGCTGACAAAATGTCTACAAATAAAGATACCCAGATGTTGCACATGTGTCTAATTCTTTATCTTGTCGGTACAGTACACCATTCTTATACAAGTATTGTTTCAAAGATTAAGAAGCTAATTTTAAAACAAAGAATTCAAGGGGATTTGTAGTCAAGGCTAACAAGAACTCTTGTAAAACAAGTTAGTTGCCCATGTTCTATAAAATAATTAGTATCATTGTGTCTAAGAGTGCAACTTTTCCTATAATCTAGATAATATATTAATATGTGAGCATTCGTGTCATTTAAGTTATATACAGCTACAACATTTTAATGTTTTAAGGAAAGGGATTTATGTATATCATTTTTGTGTTATCTCCCGTTTTCTGTGAATAAGCTAACCTCCCATATTCTGTGAAAAAGCAACTAACATGTTTTCTGTGAATAGGCAATTAACCCGCCGTTTTCTGTGAAACAATACGCAACTAACCACACGTTTTCTGTAAAACAATAGGTAACTAATCTGCCGTTTTCTGTAAAACAATACGCAACTAACCACACGTTTTCTGTAAAACAATAGGCAACTAATCTGCCGTTTTCTGTGAAACAATACGCAACTAACCACACGTTTTCTGTAAAGCAATATGTAACTAATCTGCCGTTTTCTGTGAAACAATACGCAACTAACCACACGTTTTCTGTAAAACAATAGGTAACTAATCTGCCGTTTTCTGTAAAACAATACGCAACTAACCACACGTTTTCTGTAAAACAATAGGCAACTAATCTGCCGTTTTCTGTGAAACAATACGCAACTAACCACACGTTTTCTGTAAAACAATAGGTAACTAATCTGCCGTTTTCTGTGAAACAATAGGCAACTAACCTGCCGTTTTCTGTGAAACAATACGCAACTAACCACACGTTTTCTGTGAAACAATAAACAACCAACCTGCCGTTTTCTGTGACAGGTCTGAAGAGGTTAGGCTGGAGTTCGTCAACATCGTCGAGGTTGTTACAGAGAACTCGTGCCAGCGTCACCTTCCTCACCTCTCGTAGTTGCTCAGGCGTCAGGGATGACACCTGCCCCCCGTTCTCGAACCAGAAGCGATCACCTGTCAAGGTGGCGCAGGTGCCGGAGGAGATCAGGTGAAACTAGGTGGTGATACATGACAAAGGACGGCAGGGGACTTCAGGTGAGTCGGAGAGAGAAGGGGAGGTAAGGGGCGTTTGTAGGGGTAATGGTATTTGTGGTCGTAAGGTGAGGGTTAGAATTATATTTATTATAACCATGGGGGAGCGCTAAATTCGTAGGGATTATATAGCACCTACGGGGGAAGGGAGATGGAAGGTATTCAGGGCCAATTCAGGGAACTGGAGCACAGATTCAATTTCCTAGATCAAGAGCCCCTCACCAGCGTCAAGGAACCTCCCTTGAGGGAGGAGATAAATGTTAAGGTGATATTTGTGAATGATTCTAGGAAAGTTAAGGGGTGTTAATGGTTAGACAAGGATTAAAGGGATATTTGTGAGTGATTCTAGAAGTGTTAAGGGATGTTAATGGATAGACAAGGATTAAGGGGTGTTAGTAGACGAGTTAAAAAAAATGTGTAATAGGTGTTGACCAGGTTGTAGGCAGGTGTGTAGCTGCCTGTTCCCTTGTAAGGAGGTACCTTTGTACTGGAGAAGGGCTCTTGATCCAAAGACCCTGAGTAACCCATCCCATTCCTTGGATCAAACTTGCCCATACGGGGCTTTCGCTTCCCCATAATTGCAACACCTGCAACATATTTTCGGGACAGATTCTTTTAGCAGATGATAAAGAATTTAGGCAGCTGTGTGAGAGGTGTAACACAGGTGTAACACAGGTGTAACACAGGTGTAACACAGGTGTAACACAGGTGTAACACAGGTGTAACACAGGTGTAATAGGTGTAGCATAACATTTGTTAAACAGGTATATTACCTCGGCGCAGGTTAAGGAACTGCTGTCCTAGAATACAAGCGAAGGTGGGTCCGACCAGACCTCTTATGACAGGTTTCTCAGCCAGACCTCCAGGAAACAGGTCGATGTCGTCCACATGTCTGTGAAACACAGGTCGTTATACACTCGTTGAACTAATGGTCGTTAACGATGGTGATTAACAATGTCAAAGTTTATCATTGAAGAGCATTTCGTATAGACAGTATTATACACTGACCTGTAGACAGTATTATACACTGACCTGTAGACAGTATTATACACCGACCTGTAGACAGTATTATACACTGACCTGTAGACAGTATTATACACCGACCTGTAGACAGTATTATACACTGACCTGTAGACAGTATTATACACTGACCTGTAGACAGTATTATACACTGACCTGTAGACAGTATTATACACCGACCTGTAGACAGTATTATACACTGACCTGTAGACAGTATTATACACTGACCTGTAGACAGTATTATACACCGACCTGTAGACAGTATTATACACTGACCTGTAGACAGTATTATACACTGACCTGTAGACAGTATTATACACTGACCTGTAGACAGTATTATACACTGACCTGTAGACAGTTATACACCGACCTGTAGACAGTATTATACACTGACCTGTAGACAGTATTATACACTGACCGGTAGACAATATACACTGACCTGTAGACAGTATTACACAGTGACCTGTATACAGCATCATACACTGACCTGTAGACAGCATCATACACTGACCTGTAGACAGCATCATACACTGACCTGTAGACAGCATCATACACTGACCTGTAGACAATATACACTGACCTATAGACAGCATCATACACTGACCTGTAGACAGTATTATACACCGACCTGTAGACAGTATTATACACTGACCTGTAGACAGTATTATACACTGACCTGTAGACAGTATTATACACTGACCTGTAGACAGTATTATACACCGACCTGTAGACAGTATTATACACTGACCTGTAGACAGTATTATACACTGACCGGTAGACAATATACACTGACCTGTAGACAGTATTATACAGTGACCTGTAGACAGCATCATACACTGACCTGTAGACAGCATCATACACTGACCTGTAGACAATATACACTGACCTATAGACAGCATCATACACTGACCTGTAGACAGAATCATACACTGACCTGTAGACAGTATTATACACTGACCTGTAGACAGCATCATACACTGACCTGTAGACAGCAGCCAGCCTGCCTACGGTGTCATCATCCATAACCTGCAGCAGTTCACCCCAGTTAGTGAACCTGTGCAGGCCACACTGTTCCCTCCAGATGTTGTAGGCCGGGAGGCCGTGATCACGACCTCTCTGTATGTTAAGTGAGGCCAGGTCCATGCCGTAGTGATGACCTGCCAGCACACCAGGGGGAAGGTACTTGTGACAACTGAAGTTATCGTCATACTGTAAAGTTATCTTATTGAGAACTTTGTTATTCAGGTTATCAAAGATTATTCCCTGGGTAGAATTGATAATAGTGGGTTTGGGTTGCAGGAGGACCTGCCTAGTATGGGTCAGTAGGCATGCTGCAGTGTTCCTCCTTTCATATATTCTTAAAAAAAACGTTGGAGGGTATGATGGTTTTAGGTGCTAGGGGCTTCAACACCTGGCAGGCTTGTGTGAGCTTGTTAGATCCTCACTCAGATCAGAGATTTGACGTGCTGTTGGAGTGTGAGCAAGTAATATATACGATGGGATTTAAGAAAACCAGTTAGGCATATTTATGTCCTGGAGGTGGAAAGTACAGTGTCTGCACTCTGATGGAGGGTGAGAATGTTGCAACTCACAGGTCATTTGAAATGATCGATCAATTCTGGCAAGACTGATTGATTGAAAGTGAATATTGAATTTTTGTAGGTCAGCATACCTTGGGAGACGGCCTATGTGGTGAGAACAATTACTACCATTACTCCTAATGACGATAATAATGACAGTAATAATAATTATAATGAAAGTAGTAGCAGCAATAATAATGACAGTAATAATAATTATAATGAAAGTAGTAGCAGCAATAATAATGACAGTAATAATAATAATAATAATAATAATAATAATACAATAATAATACTAGTCACAATTTCTTGCCTGACACATGGTCTACCACTGCTGTCTTCTCCTGTCCCAAATTCCCGTCCCAGGCGCTGTCAAGCACACTGAAAAACACCATCAATCACCAAGGTTATTTCACTTTTTTTTTTACGTTCAGCTAAGGAGAAAACTCTTCTGAAAGAGCATACTTGTGTGTGTGTGTGGAGAAGAGGGCAGTTATAGCAGGGTTCTCCTGGGGTTCTTCTTCAACACTCACTACTCGCTTCCCAGAACATCTATATCAGTTTGATTTTAAATCTATCGAGTCTGCGAGTTTTCCTTCCTTTGTATCTCCTTGGAATCAATATTCCCTTTCGGGAAGATATAAAAAATGGTTTCCAAAGATAAAGAAAAACGAAAAAATGCAAATGCTGCAGTCTCCCCTTTATGGGGCGTGAGCCAATCACAGCTCGCGGCTGCCTCTCTCACCCACTGCCTCGACCAATCACAGCCCGCGGCTGGCTCTCACCCACCACCACCATGGCCAATCACAGCACGAGCTACAGGACCAGCTCTGATATCCACAAACCTAGCTGCTAAATTTTCCCAAAAACATTCTAACCTGTCAAAGAATTATAGCTTGAACCTTAGAAAGCTACTAATGAAAGTTTAACTAACAAGACTTCTAGAAAATTACTCTTAGCTCACACAGCTTACACACTGTGGTCCGTGGTTCGATCCCCGGTACGGGTGGAAACATTAGGACACTTGCTGTGCATGTTCACCTAGCAGTAAGTAGGTACCCGGGTGTTAGTCGACTGGTGTGGGTGGCATCCTGGGGGCAAAGCTGACCTAATTTGCTTGAAATGCTCTGCATAACCAGGGACTTTCTACATAGTATATCACTGATGTCAGCTATGGTCTGTATACCTTGTACACGTACTGGTAGAAATAAAGATATTATTATTATTATTATTATTATTATTATTATTATTATTATTATTATTATTATTATTATTATTATTATCTTAACTCGACGTTAAGTAGATCATGCACTTGTGTAGTGATGTTATTGATGCTAATTAACATTGCACCTACACCTGGGGTGTGGAAGGTGACCTGGAACTGACCTGGGGTGTGGAAGGTGACCTGGAACTCACCTGGGGTGTGGAAGGTGACCTGGAACTGACCTGGGGTGTGGAAGGTGACCTGGAACTGACCTGGGGTGTGGAAGGTGACCTGGAACTCACCTGGGGTGTGGAGGTGACCTGGAACTCACCTGGGGTGTGGAAGGTGGCTTGCAACTGACCTGGGGTCTGGAATAAGTGTCGGGTCAGTTCGTTGGTCATGTAGACGTCCCGGGCCTGGGCCATCTCAAAGGCCAGGCCCAGCATCAGGCGGTCCACACTGCCAAAGTTGTGTATGTTGGCCGGGTTCATAAGTTCTTCGTGAAGCTTGATACCTGAGGGAGAGAGAAGCTGTCAGTGTGTGTACTCACTTGTGGGTTGTTACAGGAGTCGAGCCCTAGCTCCTGACCCCGTCTCTCCACTTGCCTCGTGCCAGATTTACTCTACTACCCTCGTGGGTCTTGTCATACATTTTCCACCATCTGTGTATGTGTACTCACCTAGTTGTGGTTACAGGGGTCGATTCATAGCTTCTGGCCCCGTGTGTGTTTGTACTCACCTAGTTGTGGTTGCAGGGGTCGATTCATATCTCCTGGCCCCGTGTGTGTTTGTACTCACCTAGTTATGGTTGCAGGGGTCGATTCACAGTGTGTGTGTGTGTGTGTGTGTGTGTGTGTGTACGTACTCATATGAGTGCACACATTCCACATTCCATGACATATATCTTCGCCAGAAACAAAAATAATAATATTTACAACCCCCCTCCCCCCTCCCCCCTCCCCCTCCCCCCTCCCCCCAAAAAATCAAACTTGCCGCCTCCAGAAACGTTATTTACCAGGATCACAAAAAATAATGAAGTGAATGTTATCTGGAGAAGACGAACGAGGTTATTGTTCATGTTCTTAATATAAGTTTTATAATACGGTATTGGTGGAGGAGAGATGTTATTCCTTGTGAACAATAATGGTACACACGGTGAACAATAATGGTACACACGGTGAACAATAATGGTACACACGGTGAACAATAATGGTACACACGGTGAACAATAATGGTACACACGGTGAACAATAATGGTACACACGGTGAACAATAATGGTACACACGGTGAACAATAATAGTACACACGGTGAACAATAATGGTACACACGGTGAACAATAATGGTACACACGGTGAACAATAATGGTACACACGGTGAACAATAATGGTACACGGTGAACAATAATGGTACACACGGTGAACAATAATGGTACACACGGTGAACAATAATGGTACACACGGTGAACAATAATGGTACACACGGTGAACAATAATGGTACACACGGTGAACAATAATGGTACACGGTGAACAATAATAGTACACACGGTGAACAATAATGGTACACACGGTGAACAATAATGGTACACACGGTGAACAATAATGGTACACGGTGAACAATAATGGTACACGGTGAACAATAATGGTACACACGGTGAACAATAATGGTACACACGGTGAACAATAATGGTACACACGGTGAACAATAATGGTACACACGGTGAACAATAATGGTACACACGGTGAACAATAATGGTACACACGGTGAACAATAATAGTACACACGGTGAACAATAATGGTACACACGGTGAACAATAATGGTACACACGGTGAACAATAATGGTACACGGTGAACAATAATGGTACACGGTGAACAATAATGGTACACACGGTGAACAATAATGGTACACACGGTGAACAATAATGGTACACACTGTGAACAATAATGGTACACACGGTGAACAGTAATGGTACACACGGTGAACAATAATGGTACACGTGGTGAACAATGGTACACACGGTGAACAATAATGGTACACACGGTGAACAATAATGGTACACACGGTGAACAGTAATGGTACACACGGTGAACAATAATGGTACACACGGTGAACAATAATGGTACACACGGTGAACAATAATGGTACACACGGTGAACAATAATGGTACACACGGTGAACAATAATGGTACACACGGTGAACAATAATGGTACACACGGTGAACAATAATGGTACACACGGTGAACAGTAATGGTACACACGGTGAACAATAATGGTACACACGGTGAACAATAATGGTACACGTGGTGAACAATGGTACACACGGTGAACAATAATGGTACACACGGTGAACAATAATGGTACACACGGTGAACAGTAATGGTACACACGTTGAACAGTAATGGTACACACGGTGAACAATAATGGTACACACGGTGAACAATAATGGTACACACGGTGAACAATAATGGTACACGTGGTGAACAATGGTACACACGGTGAACAATAATGGTACACACGGTGAACAATAATGGTACACACGGTGAACAGTAATGGTACACACGGTGAACAGTAATGGTACACACGGTGAACAATAATGGTACACACGGTGAACAATAATCGTACACACGGTGAACAATAATGGTACACACGGTGAACAATAATGATACACACGGTGAACAATAATGGTACACACGGTGAACAGTAATGGTACACACGGTGAACAATAATGGTACACACGGTGAACAATAATGGTACACACGGTGAACAATAATGGTACACACGGTGAACAATAATGGTACACACGGTGAACAGTAATGGTACACACGGTGAACAATAATGGTACACACGGTGAACAGTAATGGTACACACGGTGAACAGTAATGGTACACACGGTGAACAATAATGGTACACACGGTGAACAATAATGGTACACACGGTGAACAATAATGGTACACACGGTGAACAATAATGGTACACACGGTGAACAGTAATGGTACACACGGTGAACAATAATGGTACACACGGTGAACAGTAATGGTACACACGGTGAACAGTAATGGTACACACGGTGAACAATAATGGTACACACGGTGAACAATAATGGTACACACGGTGAACAATAATGGTACACACGGTGAACAATAATGGTACACACGGTGAACAATAATGGTACACACGGTGAACAATAATGGTACACGGTGAACAATAATGGTACACGGTGAACAATAATGGTACACACGGTGAACAATAATGGTACACACGGTGAACAATAATGGTACACACGGTGAACAATAATGGTACACACGGTGAACAATAATGGTACACACGGTGAACAATAATGGTACACACGGTGAACAATAATAGTACACACGGTGAACAATAATGGTACACACGGTGAACAATAATGGTACACACGGTGAACAATAATGGTACACGGTGAACAATAATGGTACACGGTGAACAATAATGGTACACACGGTGAACAATAATGGTACACACGGTGAACAATAATGGTACACACGGTGAACAATAATGGTACACACGCTGAACAGTAATGGTACACGGTGAACAGTAATGGTACACACGGTGAACAATAATGGTACACACGGTGAACAATAATGGTACACACGGTGAACAATAATGGTACACACGGTGAACAACAATGGTACACGGTGAACAATAATGGTACACACGGTGAACAATAATGATACACACGGTGAACAATAATGGTACACACGGTGAACAATAATGGTACACACGGTGAACAGTAATGGTACACACGGTGAACAGTAATGGTACACACGGTGAACAATAATGGTACACACGGTGAACAATAATGGTACACACGGTGAACAATAATGGTACACACGGTGAACAATAATGGTACACACGGTGAACAGTAATGGTACACACGGTGAACAGTAATGGTACACACGGTGAATAGTAATGGTACACACGGTGAACAATAATGGTACACACGGTGAACAATAATGGTACACACGGTGAACAATAATGGTACACACGGTGAACAATAATGGTACACACGGTGAACAATAATGGTACACACGGTGAACAATAATGGTACACACGGTGAACAATAATGGTACACACGGTGAACAGTAATGGTACACACGGTGAACAATAATGGTACACACTGTGAACAATAATGGTACACACGGTGAACAGTAATGGTACACACGGTGAACAATAATGGTACACGTGGTGAACAATGGTACACACGGTGAACAATAATGGTACACACGGTGAACAATAATGGTACACACGGTGAACAGTAATGGTACACACGGTGAACAATAATGGTACACACGGTGAACAATAATGGTACACACGGTGAACAATAATGGTACACACGGTGAACAATAATGGTACACACGGTGAACAATAATGGTACACACGGTGAACAATAATGGTACACACGGTGAACAATAATGGTACACACGGTGAACAGTAATGGTACACACGGTGAACAATAATGGTACACACGGTGAACAATAATGGTACACGTGGTGAACAATGGTACACACGGTGAACAATAATGGTACACACGGTGAACAATAATGGTACACACGGTGAACAGTAATGGTACACACGTTGAACAGTAATGGTACACACGGTGAACAATAATGGTACACACGGTGAACAATAATGGTACACACGGTGAACAATAATGGTACACGTGGTGAACAATGGTACACACGGTGAACAATAATGGTACACACGGTGAACAATAATGGTACACACGGTGAACAGTAATGGTACACACGGTGAACAGTAATGGTACACACGGTGAACAATAATGGTACACACGGTGAACAATAATCGTACACACGGTGAACAATAATGGTACACACGGTGAACAATAATGATACACACGGTGAACAATAATGGTACACACGGTGAACAGTAATGGTACACACGGTGAACAATAATGGTACACACGGTGAACAATAATGGTACACACGGTGAACAATAATGGTACACACGGTGAACAATAATGGTACACACGGTGAACAGTAATGGTACACACGGTGAACAATAATGGTACACACGGTGAACAGTAATGGTACACACGGTGAACAGTAATGGTACACACGGTGAACAATAATGGTACACACGGTGAACAATAATGGTACACACGGTGAACAATAATGGTACACACGGTGAACAATAATGGTACACACGGTGAACAGTAATGGTACACACGGTGAACAATAATGGTACACACGGTGAACAGTAATGGTACACACGGTGAACAGTAATGGTACACACGGTGAACAATAATGGTACACACGGTGAACAATAATGGTACACACGGTGAACAATAATGGTACACACGGTGAACAATAATGGTACACACGGTGAACAATAATGGTACACACGGTGAACAATGGTACACACGGTGAACAATAATGGTACACACGGTGAACAGTAATGGTACACACGGTGAACAATAATGGTACACACGGTGAACAATAATGGTACACACGGTGAA